CATCCTTCCACTCCTGCGGCATCTCTCCCCCATTCCACACTTCGACGAAGATGGCACGGAGGCGCTCCAGGACAATGGGCTCGTCGTCGCCGTCGACCTTGAGCAGTTCGGCGGCAAGGAGGTCGGGGCCAACCGCCTTCCAGTTTCCCAAACCTTTCGTTGCCACCTCAACCTCCTTCGAGGTCTGGTACCGCCGCCAGGCGTCGGGTGGCGCGCGTCGCTGGTCGCTGCGTCACCTGTTCGACAACGTCTGGTGAGGAGACTAAAACGAATCCTTACTTCCAGAAGTTTGGGCGAAGTTTTGACCCAACCAAAGATCCAGAACCCACAGCAGCAGAGAGGGCTGCACGCTCCCGGCTTCGTTGAGCGGCTTCGTTAAGCTTGCTCAGAAACTGTGATCGACCTACTACGTGAAAACTGCGCTTGCTACAAACCGCACTAGAGGTGAATAGACGGTAGTACGTGCTGGCTATTGAGGGTGTTCGTGTTTTTTCTCTCCTCCCTGCTAACAACACACCAACCTCAATACCAAAACCCCGCAAAACGGGACTGTCACCTTTTTGTGAACGGAAGACGAAAGACGTCGGTTCTGCGGGTTTCAGCGCGCTTTCACGACACTGATTCCCAACTCCGCGGGCACAATCGGGACCGCGCGAAATGAGTAATTCTGTTCGCTAGGCCACCAGGTGCCACCGTGCGAAGGCGCGAGTCTCGCCGTGCGTCTGGGCGCGCGCTATGAGGGCGCGAAGTTAACGTACTGTTTTCAGAGGGGGTCGAATCGCCCCGCTGCGCTGTGAGCGACCCAGTCCTGAAGATCCCGACTCCCGTAAAATTAATTACCTCTTATCCACTGAGCTAATCAGTCAGCGCTGACTAGTCTAATGGTGTAACTTCATCTTACAAAAGATATGCGCTCAGCTCATTAGCACCCGGCAGGATCACTTGGGTTTCTAATGGCTTGGGATTGAATGCAGGGATCTTCGGGGACGGACCCCTCGCCAGACGCTGATTGTTCTAGGTGCACTTTTTGTAAAGAAAGTGATCCTGCCGGTATTTGAACTCGTACGGGTATCCTTTTATGGTTCGGGTTCGTGACTAGCGGATGTTCCACTTCACAGGCCGCGTTTCGTCGTCGCTAGCGTGGGGCGCGGCGACGACGAGTGCGCAAGACTCCCAGGGCAGGCCGCACACACTTCATGCCAGCCATAGGCGAAGACCCGATCCAACACCAATCTGTGTGCAATATATTAGAGGGAATCCACATGTGTGTCGTGAGAAAAAGTGTCCAGCGGTAGATGGTGAGGAAGTCCACCGGTACATGGTGAGTGAAGTCGATCGGAGAGGGGGGGCAGGGGACAGATAGGTATGGGGCGAAGCCGCTGAAATGGTGGGGGTGTAGCGTACAGGGGTCGAGCGAGAAGAGGCGGTGGCGGAGGCACCGCCGGAGTAAGAACCTTTATTGGAACGAGCAGAACTTTTGTAGGTCTTGATGACTGAAAGTAAAGAGGGGTGGTGAGAAGCCAGGGTGGGGACGGGGACGGAGTGCAAAGGGCGAAGAGGATAGCGCGGGGGTCGTATTGTGTTTGCAGAGGAACATAACTGGAGCGAAATAAGACGGAGAACTATATACAGCAGCGCGGAGAGAATGGGTCAGGAAGTCGAGGAACGGATCGAGTCATAAGCGGGCGTAGGTAGTGGAGGGAAATGACCCCCAAAGGGGAGTGCGACGGAAAACGGTATGATGAGAAACCGGCCGGGGAGTCGGAAGTCGAAAATGTGGTGGAAGAGCCGCCGGAAGAAGCCTTGGTAGCATTGTGCAAGAGTTATTTTGTGCCCGGTAGTGCTCTCTTCAAATCACGGTGCTAGCCGGATACTCCATCACCCTCCGGGAAAAGCAAGACGTACATACCACGTCAAAATGAAGTAATCATCCCTGTCGCACGCGGAAAAAACTTGTCTCTTCAGTGAGAGTTCTGGGACAACACCACTGGCGCGTGTATCGACGGCGACGATTTCAGATGAAGGTGCTCCTGGGGACGTTAAAGCCAAAGCAGTACATATCACGGTGGAAGCCCGCCTTAAAATATTTGTGGGAGATAAGAGTGGGAGGAAAAAAAGGATTGAGCGATGATATGGTGCGCACTGGGTCCGTGCCTGAAGTGAAATGAAATGTATGCATTATGTACAACTTCATTGGGGTTAGGATGAAGTTCGGACGGTGTGGAGGACTCGTGGAATAAACTGAAGACTGATAACGCGAGGGCGCTACTGCCTGTTGCTCGTGGCCGTTCTCAGCCGCCCGACAGATGGCGAAATCCCCCGTAAGGCAGTCCGAATTTTTCGCACGACACCTTAAGTCCAAGTGACCGTACGCGTACGCGCTTGGGGTCGTGCAGTAGCCGTTGTACGTTGGAATGGGTACTCTCCCGGACAGAAAGATCAGTCCTGTAGGGTCGACGGCAGTATACATGATATGGCAGAAATAAGTATTTACTGGAGTATTGTATTGGGAGACGTGGACTTCAAAATGAAAATAGCACGGTGGACTGGATGAGAGATGGAGAAGAGTAACGACGACGGTGCGAAGGTGTGAAAGGCAGTTTGGACGCGCCCAAACAACCTCAAGTGAACCCGTTTCCGGAACTGGATTTGGCGGAGATGATGACGAAAAAAACGGTTGCCTCATTGTATCTGTTCCACCATCACGAAATCGGCCGCGGTCACAATATCGCGGGCGAGAAAACGAGGTCAAGATTTTGTATGGTTTTCTTTTCGTAGCAGAAACCAATCCTGTTGTGCTTGGAAAAACTTCAGAAGGCAACAATTACCATGCACACCTTCACTAAAAGCCCTGTACAGGAAAAACCTCACCACCAACACATGCATACAAAACTTTGGATGGAAAACCTAAAACCCTAACCCTTAAACAACATAACTGGAAATCGACCACTTCCGAACCACAACGTCGGGGGGAAACACACAAAGCTTGCACGTACGGCGTAGCGCTCAACAATACGGACAGCAGACTCCGCGGTGTTGAAAAAGTGACACATATTTTACTCAATATTGAAATTGTTACATACAGTGCTCGAACTCATCAGCAAGTTGAAGCATCAAACAGGATTCGACATATTTAGAAGGACACGTTCCAGGGGACAAAAAAAAACGATGTCAGCATCACCCACCGAAAAGGAAACTATACCACTGCAGACTTGTACGATAGGTAAGCAAGTCACAGTTGTATTATTCCCTGTCACGACACAAGGCACTTCGCAAGGTGTTCACGACACCCACTCACGGTAACCTAAATCATCCAGTCCTGTTCCCTACTATATAGAAGTACGCAGAAGTATACAGCCCTAACCTTAAAAGTATCCGCTAGCGTCGTCAAGGTTGGTTCCGCGACAAGGAAGATCGTGTCCGTCGGTACTTTCCAGCCCGACCTTCCGACAACATGCAAAGCATTCAACGTGGAGTTGCCTAACGTTGGCTCACGCGAGGACTTGACCAGCGCATCTGGCCGTACACGCTTCCGTGCCGTGATTGTTAAGCCCCACGGGTATAACCTCCTATACCGGCGTCTCCCGCACGTTCCCCAGCCTACAGCAGACGAACCTTGTCGCCAACAAGATAAAACGCTCGATGCTGTACCGAGGAGAACTACGTGTTGGCGAGGACAGCAGTGGGACAATTTTCACGGGCGGCCAAGAGGCCAGTGGTGGTCTCGTACCCGACGACCACAAGCCCGTGCATCGGAAAGGCACGGAGCATGGACAGCCCCAAACCCCGAAGCAACACCGGTGTTGTTTCCGACCTGCAGATTTTGAAGGGTGCAGCGGGGAAAGATAAAACTCACGCACAACACACTTTACAACGCTCGTGTACAACGCCGTTTTTTCTCCGCCGAGCCAATATTCGCGTGTTTTGAGGCGTGAAAAAGCCCCCGCGCTTGAGCTCTCCCCAGGGAAGGGGTTGAGGGAATTCTACACAATTTCCCTGTTGTGCTAGCGACTCAATTTTTAGATGCTTTTGGCGAGCCAAGCTCAACCGTTTTCAAGATGTTCTGTCCTTGCCTCTTCAACCTAGCCGGAGAAGCGACAAGCCAGCAACCTTTCTGACACGCACTACCTACATCCCCACGACGTGCTGCAGTACTGACCGCTTCATGCCATTTGCGTTGGCCAGCACAAGGACAACGTAGTCGCACACAGTCTGTGCAGCATCTGGTGGTCTACGATTGTATGCATAGGCTTCCACACGAGTGCGCCGTGGGGGGTATACATGACGTCACATCTACAACATGACGTCATGACATTGCAAGGCAGCATTCGAGTTTGGTAGAGGCTTCGTCGGCAACGCACGCAAACACTTATTATATATAATAGCACGTCTTCTGACTCTTTCCGATGCACCTCACTGTCTTCCTCAGGCGGTCCCACGACCCGCGGTACACGCCGGGCTCCGCGCTCTAAATCCTCGTCTTGATCACGTCCAGGCAGTACACGGGCGGCAGCCACGTTGCGCACCCGGCTATCCCTCCCGCCAGCATCTGCAGCGCCGGCTCAGGAACGCTGCTCTTGCCCGTTCTACTTCGGCGTATCAACAAGTCCTTGGTTACCTCATACTGGGAGAACGTAAAGCGGTGCGGGGGTGTGGTGGTGTGTAAAAGCGGGTTCCATTGTCCGGTTCGCTTTTCGCCTGAAGGGGAGTTCATTAGCCTGTAGTGGACTCGACGGAGTCGCTGTGATGGCGCTATTATGCTACGTTCCACCGGGGGGTTGACTTCGGCGGGTACGAAAACAATTCTACCCGCTAGGATCGCAATTCTCTCTCTAGGAAAGTACTTACCCCCAGGGCGGGTTACTTCGCGCACCAACGTAAGAAAGCCCTTCAGGCCACCAACTCCTCACGCACTCACCGATGGGTAGTATATCGCACACTGCAACATTTCCCCGAGCATTGTCGATTCGATCCCGGGAAAAAGGCCCGACATTATGCCTTCCCTGGGGTAAACACGCGACCATCCCGTTCGCGGAAGCGGGGGCGGGGGAGGAACGGGGGCGGCGTATTCCTATGCCTTGAATGCCTCACCGGATTGACCGTTGACCACGCGTCCTCGAGAGGACGGAGCATTGTTACCACAGGGCCGATCACCGATGGCCAAGTCGTTCCTTCCCCCTCTGTCAAAGGTGACCCAAAAATATTTTCATTTGTCAATGTATCCTTTCTGTATCACTTACCGCCATTTCAACCCACCTCCTACGCCCCAGGGCAGCTATCGTCTTCTCCTGGCTATTCCATGCCTCAAACATCTCTCTGAACCTTCCTTCTGCTTTTCCCAGCTCAGTAACGTACCCTTCCCTCTCCTTGTACAACGGGCATTCCGCAAATACATGGATCCGGTCTTCGCACTCCGCGCCGCATTCATAATTTGAACTTATCGTCTTCATCATCTACTTGCCTAAATCTCCGTGCCAACTAGGCCTCAAAAGGAGGTGCCGTGGTGCGGTCAACAGGCGGCACGCCACGTAACACCGACCGCATGGTCTACGCACACGAATCCAACTCACGTGCGGCTGACACTCGGGCCCACGCACGAGCAGCGGAAAAGAGGCGGAACAGACCGAGTCCGCTTCCCACCGTCCCTCTTCGCACGGCCTGCTTTGCCGCTCGCAACATGTGTCTCTCTCCGCTCATTCGCCGATACACCGTCGTAGTTCGATGTCGACGACGGCCAACTGGCCCAAGACCGGGGGGACACGAAAGAGTGGTCGCTCGCAATCTGTGCCTCTCTCCGCTCTTGCGCCGATACACACCGTCGCCGAGATCGAATATCGAGGTTCTTCGAGTAGGCCATGCCTAGAGGCGCGGGAAGGGCTGCGCGGGAACCGGAGTCGGTCTGTTCTGCCTCGACGCAATCTGTTGCGAATGTAGGGGACGAGACCACGAAAGACGAAACGAAAACACCTCCAAAAACCAGACACGGCGATAAACCAAAAGCGAGCATGTCTGCTCCAAGAGGTCAAGGGGCGACGTTCAATGAACCCGCATCCCATCCGACAAGAGCACACGCCACTTGTATCGGTGATATTCAAGCGCTGCTGTTAGCCCAGACCGGGGAACCCGGCTACAGCGATGATTCCACACACGTAGATTGCTCAGGCGGTACACAACCAAGGGCAAGCGCTCTCTCGCCGTATCTACTGCACTAGCACTTCACCCAACCCAATACCGTAGGTTGCAGAAGACACCACATCCCCCCCGGACAGATCTTCAATGCACGGTTACTCCACGAGGAGAGGGTGTCAAAACCAAACCATGCGTTTCGGCAACATCTTGACGAGGTTAATCCAACGGCGTTATTTTCGGCACTGTCACTGCCTTTCCTGCCGAGTAATCGCGTTTGAAAATCGGTCCAGGGGTTGTGATGTCTTATGCAACGTACGGTAGCGTCGTCCACCTTGTCCTCCACGAACTGCTGTAACAAGGTCAGCGAAACCTCGGAGGTACAGATCCAAATACCTTCGCACTAGGTGCACTGCACACGCGCCGCTCCAGGAGTAGGGTGCCGCTCGCCCATTCCCGACCCGCACCTGCAGTGACGTGGCAAACGACATGGGAGTACAGTCAACGCCAGCATTCAAGAACCTCTAGTTTTGGTCGAGGAGGGGGTCCTTGGTTCCCAGGGTTATGTTACAAATAACCGTAAAGTGTGGGTGCTCAACCGTGCTCGCAAGCTCTTGAGATTCTGATTTTTCAAGGCTGCCTCATATTTCTTAACTGCCAAGTTCTTGAGAGCCGGCGCAGCTGTTCGTGGCGCTACCGCCCTCCGAGTACCACAAACACTAACTGTACCCCATGAGGCTCAGAACGACTAGGAAAGACGGACACCAAGGTAGCACAATTTTGAGGGCACAAGCTGTTGGTCGTACCATGGTGTGCTCATGCCGAGGCACAACACCGACCAAGGACACCTTTTCCCGTGGCTTGTTCAACAGATTTTCATGTGCTTGGTTTTTGGGTTCATGCCACCAAACATCCTGCGAGGGATTCTCTTGTCCCACCCACTGGCGTCGTTGGCGCTGTCATGTCCAGCCACACAGTCTCAGGTTGGGGAAAAGCACGCCACATCATTTCAAGCCCTTTCGAACACCTCGGCAGACCTAAAATACACGCTACGCGCACAATCAAATTTGCTGGCTGCTACTGCGCTGCCGTACGCGAGATCCACCACAGCACAGCAGTTTTGGCCCCAGTACAAGGCCCATTAAAAGCCGAGGAGGCGTTTGGCCGCGCTACTACCGGGCACCCGGCATTGCTCAGAGTATAAGACAACTTGAAATGTTCCATCTGTGTCAAGAGATGTAACCAGCCTTATGGAGGCAGGAAGTAGCCCTCGCAGGGTTTTTGTACGAAGTAAATATGTTGGGCAATGGACGTAATGGGGGAAGTTGGGCTAGGGTAAGGGTTAGGGGGTGTGCGTACTGGTAAGAGTCAATCGACGGATACCCTGCGAATCGGGTCCTCCTTTACACTCTCTACCCACAGAATTCACCCTCAACTGGGAACCTTTTGTGGCCAGGACGGGTCTTTCGATGGACAGACGTGTAACAAGGTTCTCTATAGGATCGACTCCAAGAGGTGCTCTCAGGACTGACACACGTTTGTGTCAGGAGGTGCTCTCAGAGTTGACATACATTGGTGTCCATGGGAAAATGTCCAAGTCAAGAGAAAAGTGTGCACCCAAGGAGATTTGAAACAGTATTCAGCTGACGCCATGTGCGACGGTGTACCGATTCTGGTGAGAGTCAATCCACGGATACCCTGCGAATCGGGTCCTAATTAATAGTACCCCCTCCCTGTTCTATTACCTCAGAATCATAATTCTCGCGAAGGCGGTCCTATCGAGGGCGCGACCGGCGTTGGTCAAGGAACACTACTTGTGTTACCGTCGCCTCTCTTGGGGCGGCGTCTTCCCGGCCGCAACACCACACACAACCTTACCATGCGGCTTGACCACACAGAGACGATACTACGACTGTGTTGAGAGAAACGATTCATGTTGCAGCAAACGACGTCGTCCTTTTACAGCTGGTGCAGGTCCATTCATAGCTCGACGTGCGACCCGTGTCCTGCGTCCCGTTCGCACGTCTGCTTCCATGTTCTCGACCCACGCCACAAGCTAGCATTGCGTTCGATACGCCATGATCTATATCGAGGGCTTTCGCCGATGAGCTTAATTGCCTGCGTCATGATCTGAATCACTTGCATGACAGTCTTGACCCTGTCGAACACCGTTCGGAAGGGGGAGTTTATTGCTCCCGCGAACAAACCCGCCGCACTCTTCTCCCAGAGGAAAACTTCCCCACTGCCACCCCCTCTTCCGTCCTCCTTCCTTTGTCTGTGTAACGCACACGATGATCGTTGGTTGTGGTATTTTACACGCACGGGGGGGGCAGCGTGGGTGTTAACCCACAAGAGAATACCTCGGTCACTCTCCTCTCTTCAATATACACCCATAGAATGGCAGTACACGAAGAGGTGTATATCTAGGTGTAGACGTAAGCGGCTGTTGTCTCAACTGAACGGGCCCGAACCCATGGAAATTAACAAAAAATCTCTTCACCATCTGTGCAAGCCTACTTCCATTCTTACCCCGAGCAGGGTAATAAGGCGTTTTTCTTCCCCAGAAGTGCTCTCAACCCGCACGCGAGACCTATTGCCGTCACGAGATATTGACGTTGCCACCTGGGCCACTGAGACAGCACACCTGGTGCTACTACAGAGTGTCAATGGATTTCCTGCCTGCGGTGCTGCGGTCTCCTACATGGTAATGCTCGCTACTCTTATGAATGCCCTATCTGCCGTACTGCGGTCTCTTCCTTCATAATTAACTGCCGTGGAAGAGACGTCCATGCACACCTCTGCAAGAACCGGCTGGCCACGCCGTACAAAGAGAAGGAAACCGCGAACATGGCCCCGTACCCGGCCACCGGAGATAGGAGTCCTCGGTACCATGACATCAACTGTGGGCGCGCGCACGGTAGAGCGTGAAGGCAGTAGGTACAGCGGGTTTTCCCACCATCCGTTCGTTGTTTAGCCCATCACCTCCTAGGAGCTACACTTGTCATTTTTGGCGTTCAATTTTGTCAAGGCCTTGACGGCGAAGAACGGCTTGAATTTTTCAGTGCAAAATACTGTACATCATTTCGTTTTCTCTCGCTCTCTCTCTCTCTCTCTCTCTCTCTCCTCTCTCGCGCTCTGTTTCTCTCTCGTTTCTCTTCCTCTTTCAGCGCGCACATTTCAGCCCCAAAACCAATAGTCATCGAACAGCGCCCTCGATATGCACACAACACAAACAAGGAACACACGGCGGTTGCCCCCCATACCGCTGACCCTGCCCTCACGCTTCGCATCCCACCTAATGCGGCTTGTTTGTGGTCAAGGTGCTTGGGTCCAGAAGCTGCTAGTGCTGGTTGCAACTATCATGGGGCAAAAGGAAAAACACAAGCAACTTGAATTTTCCGATGGTGGAGAGTACGCTGTGAGCGCAAATCGACGGGGTTCGATCCTACGTCACGGGTAAGAAGAACGAATGGAGGGAGAGAGACAGGTAGGCTAAACGTAACTGTTGGCAGGCAAGATGGTGCCAACTACACCACGCCACTCCTGGAACGGTTTGGCATACACGACTACACCCCAGTCAGCACGCCAAGCGTGGGAGGAGAGCTATCGCTAGATCAGCCAACTGACACTCTACTCGACGAGGACGGTATCAAGCCGCACCAAAACTTGGTCGGAAGTCTTATGTACTCAAACCGGACCAGCCGTTGGGATATCTCATACGCCGTGCTTGAACTGACACGGGCCACCAGCAAACCCAGCAAGGCCCGCACGTCCAGGGCAAAGCATGTACCCCGGTACACCTCAAACAATGGCCAGAGTTGGACACCGTATATGAGAGCGGGAATTTCAACATCCAAGCTTGGGCAGATGCAAGTTTTGCTCAAGACCTTGTGAAGAGGAGGTCAATAAAGTGGACACCTTGTTGTTCTCTGCGGCGCGGCCATTTCATGGGCCTCATCACGTCAATCGCTGACTGCACTCAGCACAACGGAGGCCGAGATGGTATCAATCTCCTACGCAGCACGAGAGTGCTGCCGCATCCAAGATATGCTGGCGGAACTCGGAATCTTCAATCAGCAAACATTCGAATCGGAAATGGTGCGACTGGCGCCCTATCGCTAGTGAGCAACAACTCCTTAAAGCGCCAGGACAAAGAACCTTCCGCTGCGGAAGTGGTTCACGACAGAACTTGTCGTAAGCGGACGTTTGGGCGTATACCACGTCCCGTCGAGAAATCTACCGTCATATATGCCCCCTCGATTGGCATTCACTAAATACTAAATACGAGCTACGATACAGTCGCTACAACGTATTCGTCCACGGTACCAGTTATCATGGAAGGAACAAGAAGTATTTCACCAGGCAGGGTTGAATACAAGAAACGATCAATATCCTGACCAAATTCGTCAAGCTTCTCCTCGGAGGAGTGACGGAAAATATCTTGGCTCAGTTGCTACTAAAAGTTCTGCCTTGATTTCGTCTGAGCGCTTGGCACTAGATACAAGATCACCCGTGTGCTGCGATTCTGCAATCCATAATTGGATGAGAGTCGTCCAGACTTCGTCGTGTAATACTGAAGCGATAAGGCGTGCATCTCCAACACTAGTCAAATTACACGTATAAGTCAACATACACCTTTGACTTGCACGTATATGTTGATTGGAATCGGAGATGCACGCCGTATCGCTTCAGACTTAGACCCCGAAGTCTGGACGACTCTCGTCCAATTATGGATTGCAGAATCGCAGCACACGGGTGATCTTGTGTTTAGCGCCAAGCGCTCAGACGAAATCAAGGCAGAACTTTTAGTAGCAACTGAGCCAAGATATTTTCCGTCACTCCTCCGAGGAGAAGCTTGACGAATTTGGTCAGGATATTGATCGTTTCTTGTATTCAACCCTGCCTGGTGAAATACTTGTTGTTCCTTGCACAATGACTAGTAGCGTAGACGAATACGTTATCGCGACTACACCGTAGGATCGTATTTACTAATTGCCAACCTAGGGGCGTATATGTGTGTTCATGATAACACCGTTGATTGGAGCTATGCAATATGTAAGAGTTTGTATGGCATAATCGATTACGTGCCCTGAGCTAGCGGTGGGGTTGGCAATTTTTTCTGTCACGGATACGCATCCATGGAGCACTTTCTCACTCCACAGGTCATGCATGTGTTTCTGCACGTTGAAGTTTCGCAGTATCAGGGTACTACAGCAGTAGATGGAAATTTCGTGGAATCCAAGCATCGTAGATATTCAGCACACACTGTTCGTTGAATATGTACATTGCTTCATGGAGGGGGCATGTTGGAACATTTGGCACTACCGTACCTTCAGCATTAGATAGTTGGCTTGACTAGTTCAAATTTTGGCACTGTCGCCATGTCATGTCGTGGATGAAGTTCCGTGTGGTCTGTCATACTCGGAATAAGGAGAAATTGATATTTGGTTTATGTTCAACGTTTCATATCCAGACGAGGCGTAGTCTAGATTTCCAGAAATTAATCATATTGCAAGTAGCTCAGCCTTGCGTGCTTGGAAAAAATGTGTCGCCTAGTTCGCAAGTATCTCCGACTTGCGTGCGTGAAAGGATATTTACCTTCGCAAGAAACTCAGACTTGCGTGCTTGAACGAATGAACATCCGTATGTATGCGCTCAGCAGTCGAATTTGGAATAGTTGAAGCTGTATTCTGCGCACAGTCGAATGTACGTCAGTGCCAGTAACCACCTATGCTTGCAAGTACTTGATGTGCATACGTGGCAAGTTCGAGAGCATGGTGTTGACGCAATGTTTTCCAGAACACCTATCTTATCTTACCAGTACCGTATTCTGAACACGCGTGATTGATCGACGTTGCCGGATAGGTGTAACTCTATGATGTCGAGGATGAGTGCCTACTCGCACCACCCCCTCACTCTGCTTCTTTGGGATTCTATACCCCTCTGTTTTCTGGAGAGATCCACCTCTCTCTGTGTGTTCACTCTGTTTCTCTACATTATTTCTGGTCTCCACTGATCAAGTGACTACATTTCTACCAAACCATGCTCTTCTTCCTCGGGCTTCCTGCGTACTCAGAGCCCAGCCTCTCGTACTAAATAGTCCAGCGGCTCAACAAGAGTTGCTACGCCGCGCTGCAGCTGTACAGGATACGTACTGGCTCACACGCAGCACTGAAGTTTTGCCTTTGACCTGTGACTACAAGATTGCACAATATTGTGCTCTGCTTATGTACATCAGTGGTCCTTGCTGTATGTGCACTTTCTGCTTGCGCGATACACTGCGGAGAGAGCACGCATCGACTCAAGAATAAATTAGGATAGGGTACGTTTTTCCACGACAGTAAATAACACCTCGTCGAGAACCGATACGGGACTATCGTCATCACCCACAAGCCTACCTTCCCAAGACTTGTTTGCTTGTGTGTTTTCGCTCCTGAGAAAGTCAAAATAGATGAAAGCTGGCGCACGCGAGCGAGTAAACACCACACACACCTGCTGGTGAACATAGCGCATAGCCATTAATTCCGGTTAACTGCAAGGATTGATTGTTACATGCCTTACTTGCTGTGCGCGTGACAACTGATACAGGATATACGGATCTGGCGCGCCGGGGTGACTGCGATTGCGCTGCACGCACGCGTGGTTGGTGACCAAGTAGACAATGGACTAGATCAGCAATGTGTGCACACACTGATTACTGCGGACCGTTTTCGGAACAAACAGGGCGGGGGCGGGGAGTTGTGCCTCGAGGTGCCAGAGAGACATGGTAGGGCGCCAGACGCAACAGTTCATAGTGTGAAGCACGTGGATATTCATTCGGATTTTGGCTGGTGGTGGTGCGAAAGAAGGTACACCACGCGCAACACCTGGCCGGGGATGATGGCGCATGTGGGTGTAGGGTCCGGTTGGGTCCTATGTATCGAAGAAAGCAAATCCTGATGGACCATTCAATATTTTTTATTCAAGAGTCCACGAACATTCAACCTTTTACTTCACCTCTGGCGGCCTTCCCTCGACACATTGAACATGATACGTGCTACCTGATACACACTGAAAATATTGTACGGAGAGCGTGTATATTTCTTGTCTCCCTCACCTCGTCTTCGAGTATATTCCTGGTCGGGACACATTTTCGGGAGTTCTCTCTTGAGACGGTTCTACCTTTGGTGAGCTCACTGGCAAAACACAACGAGCTTCAGATGAGGTCGGGGCTACTCCCGTGCTACTCTAGAATACAAAAAACAGGAAGTAGGTAAATAAAAATACCCCAGACAGACAGTCAATGCATCGCTGGAGACTTATCGGGCAAGGAAACAGCAGGGCTATTCTCAAGCCCACGTTTCTGAACCGGCACAGTATGGACTCCAAACTTGAGCTCCGTCTCAAGTCGTTGGTTCTGCTTCGATATTTATTGTTGCTCCTACAGCAGAGCAGCATCGTGACAAAAGATACGTCCCGCGATAAGTCGATATCAACCCTACGATGCCAGTTGCATCAATATTCAGACTCTTCTTACCCCTTCGTGTACGGCCATGGAGGACAAGACTTGAACCGTGCCCAAGTACCTGCCCCCCGTTTGCAACCTACCCGCAAAGTCGTGGGTAGTGTCACGCAAATGGGAGGGAGGGGAGAAAGACACACCCCATGTAGGGAAGGGGAGATTTTCTGTCACTGGTCAAAAATGCTTGTTGTTTTGGTGTGAAAACACGGAGCGAAACACGCAGTATATGTTTCATAATCACCATTGAAAACTCCAACCCCCTACACCTAACAGTCGCCGCAAGTGGCTTGAGAGAGAGGGTGATATATGGCCCCCCCGGATTGTAGTTGCCATGGAGACAGGACCTGTCCCTTTTTCGGTACGCGGGTGTACCCCAAGGTCAGTAACATGCTTGCAACGCCTATGGTGGTCCATCACCCAAGGGGAGGAACGTGAAGATATGCGGTAGTGATGAGCTATGCCTAGGGCTTTCCAGTGGGCGCCTAATTCTGCGAAGCCCATTTCGCCCTTCATGTCGCCCAAGAGAGTCAAGCCACTTGCCGAATCTACTTCCAAGAGGGAACGTTCCCGTCTACCTGCGGATTACCTCTTCTTACAACAGCGCCCCTTTCGGCAAATGAACCTTCGGAACATCTGAAAAACCATCTCGCACACATTGCGCCAAACGCCCTGTGGAATGTCGGCCCACCTGCTTTTTACCGTGTCGAGAGGGCAAACCGCGGTCACCCCAATGACTCCACCGACCGTGCCGCCTGTTAGGTCCTGCCACAAGGTAGGCATACTACCCTAGTCAGCGAAACAACAGAGAGCAAGCGTAGAGTTGGAGAGGGGGGGAGGTAAGTTGTGTATATGTGTGCCTCCAAGAATGGAGACTTCCGCCAGGCGTGTTGTTCGGGCAGGGTAGTAGGGGGCGAGCAAGAGGCGTCATTTAGACTCGGGACGCGTCGTTACCGAGTCTTGGGAGACATCTCGGCAGCGTTTCCTACACCACATCCTTCTCTGTGTTGCTTACGCACAATGCCCGGCGGTGGTGACGACGAAACTTAAGCCTGGGACCCAAATTGTGCTTCTGTTTTTCCTATAGACAACTGCGGACCTCACCTGTAGCCAGCAGGCGGGGCAGCAGCACGGCGGTTCAAGCGACAACAGTAGCACATATGGTGAGAACGACAGTACCTGTAGTCCTCAACTGCAGCACTTCGGCTTGTCCAACCCTCTCTTACATCCGCCACCGCGGCGACAAAATCGACTGCGTTCTCAAGCGTTTTGTAGAAACTACGCGTACACTACAGTCGACCCCGCTTTAAGGATGCACATGTTTTTTCCCGAAAAAAAGCGTCCTTAAAGCGGGGTTGCGTCCATAAAAATCAGGGGACGATAGCTCACCATCCCCGGGGCCAATGGAGGCATGCTATACCTCAAACTACCCGTCTTTTGCTAAGGAAGGGGGTGGTACGAAAAGTCAGCATCGCCGACACGACTGGCAACCGTTTGTTGACGTCGAACATATTTACAAACCTAAGAATGAGATGTACAGCAGTCGGGGACGTGTTGAAAACAACTACAGTACACCAGTTTGTACTTGGCCAACTAATGTGCTGCAGAGCCGGCAGCGGAAGAAGAAGGAAAATCCAAGTAGACATATATTTATCTCATTCTTGTGAAACAAAAAAACACGAGCGTATTTCAGCGTCGCATCGAGGAACACCAGTACATATCACTGTCCCGGCGGAGACCAAAAGCTACCCTGATGGCTTGTCCTTCCACATATCGCGAAGAGTTCCCTGAACCTCCCCCCGCGGCTTGGCTCTACGGCTCTGTTGAGTTTCATGAGTAAACGAATGAACGGTCTTCGAAAGAAGGTACTGCGTCTCACGGTTCTCGCCACCCCTTCCCTTCGCGTACAAATACATATAGCGCCAGCAGCTAAGAAAAATTTTGTTAAGAAAAAAGGCTCAACTTTGCACGAAAAATAAGAAAAAAGGGCTTAAGGCTGACTCTTATGGCTCCCGGAAGTTGGCCACGGAACGGATTTTTTTTTCAATTTTCGTGGCATGTTCATCTTATGGGCACGGATGCGGCGGGTTTAGGGTCAAAAAAATTCGTTTGGGACATCCGGGCCGAGTCTCCAACGATAGTTGGGCATATATTTCGTATGGGAATCGGGCCCGGATGTTGCCGACGGATTGTTCGTTTTGATCCAACAAACCGAAATCGCGGGGTCACACCGCATCCATCCCGAGCGGCACCCGAGCGTGGCGTGTGTGTGCACGAGCTTTCCAGTACCCAGCACAGACTGGACCGGGTGCGCAATGGAGCACGCGAGTGTGGCCGACGACAGCGGCAGCGACGACGAACGACATGCCCACCTACTTGTTCTTCTTGCAGCAGCGAAGCGGAGACGTCGCGAGCGGCAACGCGCTGTGCTTACGGGTGTCGACCTGGCGAGTTGTCCTGCGGTCCTTCCCAGATGGCGACGAGTTGGAGGACGAAGGCCTTGGCGGTGGCTCCCCCGTGAAGCGTACCCGCCGAGTTCTTCCACGGCCAGACTACCGCGCCTCGTTTTGGTGGCGCATGCTGGGCGAGACGGGCCTCAAGGAACCAGCGTCAAGAGAGGCCAAGCTTTTTCGGAGGCGCTTCCGCATCCCATACCAGTTCTTCACCGAGCTCATGGAGCTGGTCAAGAAGAAGAAGTGGTTCCCCATGCGCAAGAAAGATGTGGCCGGGCGTATGTGCATCCCAGTCGAGCTGAAGGTGATGT